GTTTAGTAGTTAGAGTACTTCTTGTCAGGCTTTTACATGATCAGCAGTGTGTTTTCCAATGTCTTGTAATGATCAGGATATTGAGATATTAGTTGTTGAAGAGATTTTTGAGAGTTATTTCTTGGTGCTGATGGGCTTTTACATGATCAGCAGTGTGTTTTCCAATGTCTTGTAATGATCAGGATATCGAGATATTAGTTGCTGAAGAGATTTTTGAGAGTTATCTCTTGGTGCTGATGGGCTCTCTTACATGCACAGGTTGATGTCAATACTGAAGTTGGGGTCGTCAGAGATATCAGATTGAAGGAACTGAGGATATACACTGATTATGGACGGTGTAGTCGTCCATTGTTTATAGTAGAGAAACAGAGACTCCTAATAAAGAAGAAGGATATACATGCATTGCAACAGAGAGTATGCCTTTGAAAGTAAACCTGTTATTTGCCTGAAACACAGCTGGTGCTAATTTTGAGTCTATTATCTGTTTTCCAGGAAGGGGGCCCGGACGATGTGGGGTGGCACGATTTAGTGGCAAAGGGATTCATAGAGTATATTGATACCGAGGAAGAAGAAACTACTATGATTTCCATGACCATTAATGTGAGTGGATTGATTTTTCAGAATAAGCATGTTGTGGAACATCTCAGTGACACCCAATTTAAATTGCCCAACGTCTGTTTCAGGACCTTGTGCAAGCACGGCTTAACCCTGAGGAGGCATATTCTGAAACTTACACCCACTGTGAAATCCATCCATCATTGATCCTAGGTGTTTGTGCTTCGATCATACCGTTCCCTGACCATAACCAGGTAGGCCAGTCATGCCAATGAACATCATTTATCAAAGTTAATCGGAGGAATTCATCTTAAGGGGGCTTTTTCTATTGGTGTGCTAGTCTCCGCGTAATACATATCAATCAGCCATGGGAAAGCAAGCCATGGGAATTTACGTCACCAACTACCAATTTCGGATGGTGGGTTTCCACTCCAGATTTTTATGATTATTTGTTTCCTTAATATAATACATTTCTTGAGTAAAAAATGTTATCCTCTCAGGATACATTGGCATATGTGCTGTACTATCCTCAAAAGCCTCTTGTTACCACACGAGCTATGGAGCACCTTCACTTCAGGCAGCTTCCTGCTGGCATTGTAAGCATTTAGTTTTGGGAGTGGGGTGCATCTTTTGCCTTTGTGATGATCTTCTTATGCTTTGTCACACCTTTCCTACCTTGTTTTGGTTAGAATGCCATTGTTGCCATTGCTTGCTATTCTGGGTACAATCAAGAAGATTCCGTCATTATGAACCAGTCATCAATAGATCGTGGATTTTTCAGATCTCTATTTTTCCGATCATACAGGTAAAGATGCTACCTGGCATGGTGATAAACCTGTGGATGCTTCAAAATATCTGCAATTTAGTTTTAATATTGCATTAAAACTATTCTCTTAGGGATGAAGAGAAAAAGATGGGGACTCTGGTTAAAGAGGACTTTGGTCGTCCTGACAGAGCTAATACAATGGTGAGAACCATTTGAGTGCTCTTCATCCTTTTCTATCTTGAAAGTAGTGAAATCTAACATTGTCTTCATTGCACAGGGCATGAGGCATGGTTCTTATGATAAATTGGATGATGATGGCCTTGCACCTCCTGTGAGTACTTGCAGACCCACTAGATAGCCTGGTTTTGGTTTTAAAGATAGGTTTCACTTAATTTAGTTCTCTGTGATAGGGAACAAGGGTTTCAGGTGAAGACGTGATTATTGGAAAAACCACTCCAATCGCACAGGATGACGCTCAGGGACAAGCCTCCCGTTATTCGAGGCGTGATCACAGCATAAGTTTACGGCATAGTGAGACTGGGATAGTTGATCAGGTTAGGCCTGCGTTGACTTCACTGCTACAGGCTTAGTGTACTGTATTTTCAATTCTATATTAATAATTGCTGACCTGTTGGTTGACTATTTCAATATAGATTCTTGCAGTAATCAAACCTTCTGTTTTGATTCGATCTCCCTACTATACTTTCGGCGAATGCAGGTTCTGCTGACAACAAATGCTGATGGGTTGAGATTTGTCAAAGTAAGAGTGAGATCTGTTCGAATACCTCAAATTGGGGATAAATTTAGCAGTAGGCACGGGCAAAAAGGAACAGTAGGCATGACATACACGCAAGAAGACATGCCTTGGACTGTGGAAGGCATTACACCTGATATAATCGTGAACCCACATGCTATTCCCTCTCGCATGACAATTGGGCAGCTTATTGAGTGTATTATGGGCAAGGTTGCTGCTCACATGGGAAAGGAAGGAGATGCTACTCCTTTCACAGATGTGACTGTGAGTTCTGATGTTTCTTGATCTTTTTGTTTTGGCTTAGATTTATTAAATGCTCATTAGAATCTTGAGAGTTAGTCGATGCAGTTTAGATATGACCTTTTAAGAACCACATAGACTAACTAGGTAGGGAATAAGGAGTTGGAGGCATATCATTTATATTTTCTATTTGGCAGAGATAGGATTACTTTTCTCAAGCCGCATAGACAAACGTGCTTCGTATAAGAACAATTGGCTTCCCAACCTGATCTGAAGAGACATTTTTCAGTTGTTATGTTAAATACTGTGATTTTGGGATTAACTTCTTGTTGATATGGGGCGTTAGGTTGGAAGATAAACTTTAATATTTGCCTTCAGGCTGCATTTTTCATGTTGGAAGTTGGTCATAATTGCATAGTTATGCATGCCTTTGTTTGTGGTTGTGACAGCAAGATTTGACACCTAATTACTATTTTCTGATTCTTAGGTGGATAACATCAGCAAAGCTCTTCATAAATGTGGGTATCAGATGCGAGGATTCGAGACAATGTATAATGGTCACACTGGCCGGCGGCTCACTGCTATGATTTTCCTGGGTCCAACATATTATCAGAGACTCAAGCACATGGTGGATGATAAGATCCATTCCCGTGGTCGGGGTCCCGTGCAAATTCTTACAAGGCAGCCTGCTGAGGGACGGTCTCGAGATGGTGGTCTCCGATTCGGAGAGATGGAAAGAGATTGCATGATTGCTCATGGAGCTGCTCATTTTCTCAAAGAGAGGTTGTTCGACCAAAGCGATGCATATAGAGTCCACGTGTGTGAACGCTGTGGATTGATTGCCATAGCAAACTTGAAGAAGAATTCTTTCGAGTGTAGAGGTTGCAAAAATAAAACCGACATTGTTCAGGTGTGTATTACATTTATCCAGTGCTTTCATATTTATTTTCATGATAATGCGAATGATTTTTTCTCATGACCTTGTGAGCAGGTTCACATTCCTTATGCTTGTAAATTGCTCTTCCAAGAGCTTATGGCCATGGCCATAGCACCGAGGATGCTCACGAAGGAAATCAAACCAGCAAAGGACCAGAAGAAAAAGGGTGCCTAAACTTGGGCGGTAGGGATTCCATTTACTTCGTTGAGCGCTAATGTTTTAACGGACTTGTACTTTAGATCAGTGTCAACCACCTATAATCGTCCATAACGAGCGATTTGGTTCTTCTCGGAAAAGGAGATACCCGCAAAGAAAAGGAGATGTCCCTACAACATAAAGCATCAATTTTCAGTTTGAAGCGAATATATGTTTGTTTCTCCAAAAGACTGAAATTTTACCTAGCAAAAGAAATTGTATGATTAGTCCAATCAATCTACTGAAGATAAGATTTTACCTACTTCATAGACTCATCTCGGTGCAAAAACGATCGTGTTTTAACGGTGGTTGTATGTTGAATGTCGTACGCATTCTCCTTGGGGTTATAAAAAGTGGGTACTTGTACTCTTTTGTACATGTACCTTTTCTACATTTGTACTCTATATTGCGGTCTAATTGCAAATTAAGATTTGTCATCATCACTAACTTTAATAGAGTTTTCGTCATCTCAACACCAATTGGTGCGGTCTTTTATTTATGCTAGTGACACTGGTCGATTGATCTAACATTTTGTTATTTGCGGGTACACTCGCAAGAATCTTTAGTAAGAGAAACTCTTAAAAAGAAGTTTGGATTTGTATCGCTTGTGAAGCTAATACAAATGAGGGGAAGGGATTCTATATATATATAAAAGTACTTATCTGATTTCAATCGTAAATCTTTTTTTAATTTAACGGTAGAGATTTTACGAAAGTGCATTCGAATATTAAAACTTCAAATTCTTATAATTTGTACAATTGGTGCAATCGAGTCCTTTAAAGTGGCTTTTTTATTATTTTGTCTATCCTACATGGCTAGAACATCGTTTATCTAAATATGATTTTTAATATAAATTTTATTAAATACAAAAGTACTCTAAAATAGTACACATTTTCTATAGTGCCCTTAGGAATATTCTAGAGAGAAATTCCAAGTCTGTAGAAGAGCTCACTCGGTCTCTTTGATCATTCTCGGTCTGTCGTGTGTTGAAAAGCTTCTGGACCGTGACACTAGTGATCTTCCTTGTGAAGTCGTGCTACAACGGTAGGATCACATTTCTATCTAATAAAAGGTTAAACTAAATAAAAGTTGATCAAAATCGCATTGTGAAGTCGTGCTACAACGGTAGGATCACATTTCTATCTAATAAAAGGTTAAACTAAATAAAAGTTGATCAAAATCGCATTTCCAATACGGTCCAATGTTCTTAACTCCGGTCATGGATTTAAGTAGGATGGAGCTGAGATCGCGTTTAAAACAAGATATACAAATCCAAGTGGAGATTTCTATATTGAGTAGGAATCAATGAGGAAATTAAAACGTTTTAAGTGAAAATAATCACGAAAATAAATCGGTAGAGATCGGAACTTCAGTATTTCGGAAAGTTTCGAGTCCCTTTGTCAATACGTACTCCATGCGATCCCTTGGGAAGGTGTGATCAACTCGTCGAAAAGACTGACTCCGGTTCACTTAGGTTCACCTAAGTGAACCGGATGTAATCGCGATTGAATTTGGGCCGGACCAAGCAACTGCCGAAATACCCACGAGCGAAACGGGCCGTCGGGTTTGGGCGGCGTCCGCTGAGAACCGTCGTCGCCGCGCAGGTATTTCAATTTCACCACCGTCTCGGAGAGCGAGAGAGAGAGAGAGAGAGAGCGCATGGAAAGCCAAGAGCTCATGGAAGAAGGAATGGCCAAAGACGAGATGGAGGTGGAGGTGGTGGTGGAGGAGGAAGGAGAAGGACCGCCTCCTCCTGGAGGATGGGAGTCCGGACCTCCTCCGCCATTGCCGACATCACCACCTCACTCCGCCAGAATCGAGACCAGCGCGGCCATGGAAGTAGTAGCAGTGGAAGAAGAGCAGAAGGAACGACCAAGTGAAGCCGAAGGGAGAGAGCAAGAAGCAGCAGACGGTCCACCACCTCCTGGTTGGGGAGCCGCTGCGTGTCCCTCGACCGGACCGCGAAGCGAGGGGACGGAAAGCGAACCGGTCGGGTTCGTGGAAGAAGAGAGGGCGCCGGCGGCGGCGGGAGAGAAAACGGAGGAGGAGGTGGAGGAGGTAGAGGTGGAGGAAGAGGACGGCCCGCCTCCTGGTTGGGAAGCCAGTGCTCGTCCCTCGGTCGAACCGGGGAGCGAGGGGATCGAAAGCGAAGCAGTCGTGGAAGGAGGAGGAAGGGCGGCGACGGAAGAGAAGGCGAAGGAGGAGGTGGAAGGTCCACCTCCTGGTTGGGGAATCGATCCTCATTGTCCGATCGAGCCGCCAAGTGGGAGAACAGTGAAGAGCGAGGAAATCGAGGGAGCGGAGGCGGACGGTCCGCCTCCTGGTTGGGGGGGAATCGATCCTCATTGTTCGGTCGAGCCGCAGAGTGTCGGAATCGAGAGCGAAGAAGCCGCACAAGAAGATGCGATCGGCGAGAAGGAGGCCAAGAGAGAAGAAGTGGAGGAGGACGGTCCGCCTCCGGGTTGGGGAATCGATCCTCGTTCTTCGATGGAGCCGCAAAGTGAGAGAATCGAGAGCGAAGAAGCCGCGGAAGAGGATGGGATAGGAGAGAAGGCGAAGGAAGGAGAAATGGAGGAGGACGGTCCGCCTCCCGGTTGGGGGAACGCTCCTCATCGCTCGATCGAACCGAGGAGCAACGAGGGAATCGAAGGCGAACGGGCTGTGGAAGAAGAGAGAGAGAAGGACGACGGCGCGCCTCCTGGTTGGGAACCGGTGCCGCTGCCGCCGCCGCCTGCCTCCAAGTCGCCACAGCCGGCGCCGTCCACGTTAGTGCCGTCGGCCCCGCGGCCTCGTGGGCGTACCTTAGGTCAGTGTGGTCGACCCTGTCTTAAGTTCCTTTTTTTATGAGCGGTAGTTACTTTAGTTTGTGCTCTATGGGGTCAATTCCTTTTCATTCTCTTAACTTCGTGTTTTTTCACTTTGTCATTGCTTGGACGGTTGACCTGATCTAATGATCAGTCCACTACTAAGTTTGAGTTAGCTATTTGTGGAGATGAACCCGGAGATCAATGATTCATTTCATTGGTACTGTCACTTCAGTAGCTGTGATACCTGTTTCCTTCTGATGAAAAGGTTTCTTGTGGAGATCGTAGCTCTAGTCTTAGTGGGCTATTTGCAAGACGAACATCTGATTGGTGGTTTTGGGGGGCATTCTTGTTTATTCACACGTTCAAGAGCTTAGAGTGGCTTCGTGTTTGTTTCTTCTTTTACTGTTTTGTCTATAGTTTTTTATCTTTCGTATTATCTGGGCACAATTTGCTGAGGTTGATATGCAACTGCCAGCCCTACTGAGTAAAATTCGTGTAATGATGGTTCCTTATGCTCCGAATGCTCATCTTCGTAATAGAAAATCGGGAAACTGCCAGCTTATGGATTGTTCTTTCAACATTTCTTTGGTAAGAACCGGTTGTTTAAGCAAAGAGAAGAGTGCATTTCATTCAAGCTGACCATGGTTCATGAGGGGAAGTGTGTGGATTGTTAGCTTGTACTTCTTTACTGTACCGTTGTGCTCTGCTATCAGGTTGTTGTTTGGTAGACTTAGGATTAGGCAAGTTAAACACGCAGACCTCTTATGGAGTCCGGTTAATGTTTTGGATGCCCACATCTGCTAGTTTTTCATGCAATCGTGACAATATCTCGATGCTTGATGTCTTAGTGAGACAATTATGCTGCAGAAATGGCTCAAATGGTTTGTGGTTCCTGCCAAAGATTGCTTTCATATCAGCCGGGAGCCAAATATGTCCAATGCTTATGCTGCAAGACAACTAACTTCGTGTTGGAAGGTTTATCTCTCAATCTTTACCGGAATTACTTTTATCGTCATCTTTCCTTTTCTCCTTTCAAGAGCTACACAAATTAACGGGAATTCGAAGTCATATGGTTTGTGTATTGATTGATAGATAAGCAAGTGCATTGATTGCTGCTGCGTAGCAGCAACTCTGCTCTGCAATGGTAAAATGACAAATGTGGACCCACACCCAGCTACTCCCTATACTTCTATTGCACAGATCCAAAAGAACTCATTAGTATGTGACTATGCTCTGGGCTTTCAAGTTCAAGTTTGACTTTTTATTGCAGTAAAAATATGTTGTCAGACTGTCAGTGCTATATGTTTCATGGCACTGAAGATTCTTCTGAGAATATGCAAATGGCATGTTGATTTATGCAGAATTGTTGTCTTACATATGGGGCATAGGATTGTTTCGTTCTTTATCGTGTGATCTTGGATATTGACCTTTTGCCTTTTCTTTTAGAAGTGGGACGGGATTGGTGAGATTGCTGTCAGGCTGTCAGAGATATATCAAAGATAGATATGCAACATGGTAGATGTAGGTTGAGGATCGTCACTGTTTTATAGGAGTGAAATTTCTTTGACTTGCTTTATGTGTGCACGATGTATCTGTGCTAGACATATCGTTGTGATAACATTCGATGCAATTATGTCAGTGCTTCTTCCTAGATGCTTGGATGCAAAAGTATATAAAATGGGAAATACTCTGTATGGCAACCATCAAAGAAATTATTACAGTCTGATCCAGCTCGAGTCTGATCCTGGAAAAAAGAGAGAAGAATAAGCCGTTTAAGAAGAGACCTAAAAAATGTCACATAGTTAGGAAATTTGTCAAAATTCACGTGAATTTCCAAATGGATGCTCATTTGGTGCCTCACCATGTGCTTTGGTTATCTTAAACTGGAAGAGTTCAACAGTAAGTAGTTATTGGAGGTCAAGTGACTTAATTTGAGTCTGCCGGAGAAGTAAATAGGTTGCCTGGGTGATATACCATACTATAAGTTTTAAGAAGCTGGTTGTTAGCATGTCTTGAGTTTACAGGATAGTTTCGCCCCCAATTTAGTACGCATTGTATGCTTGGCAGATTTCAAATTCAAGCAATGTCATATCAAGCTCGAAAATCATTTTTGTATTAGTTAAAGGCTGAAAATGGTTATAACCTTTGTCGGTTAAAGTTTTGCCTCCAACTCTGCAGCTTTTGCCGCAGTAGTATGAAATCTTATTGCATAATAATGTGATGGAGGGATAAAATCAATGAGCAGTTCCTCTTTTATTTTGCATTCAGACTAAATAAATCATATTTCCGTTGCAAGAAGAGCATAATTGAAGAAGAGACAGAACAATTCAGTTGTTGAAGCTGAAGTTGTTCGAAGTCGAAAATAAATTATGATATTCCTACCACTGTATAGTTGAGTCTAGTCTGGCTGGAATCTTTTTTCTGTTATTCTGCTATGTGTCTTTGTCTTACTGAAAAATGAATTACTGTCTTTGTTCCCATTTCTTCTATCAGAGCATCAGGTTGGACAAGTCAAATGTAGTACTTGTGCGATGTTGCTTATGTACCCGTATGGCGCTCCAGCAGTCAAGTGTTCGGCCTGCCGTTCTGTGACAGAAATTGTGGTATGCAAACTGTTTGCTTGAATAATTTCTGTGTGACCATGCTTGGCAGATATATCTTTTAAGTTCCTTCATCCATGGAGTGGATTCCCATGGCAAACATCAGTGCCAGAAGAGATTTTTGGGTCCCAAGTTCCTAAGCGTCCCTTTAGGACACATATATAACCACTTTTGTGACTGGAAGTATTTCACGTCGATGAATTTTTACTTTGTGGATATGAGAAACCGAATTACAATTGTATGTTTCCTTTCTAACTGTGGGCCAATGCTCATTTGACACCTGAGTTCAATTAGATACTTGTATGAGTTAGCTGTAATTCTGAAGATTTGTTGAGTGGTAGGGTGTTATTCCGGTTTCTGGTCCCTCTTGGCTAGTCTTAAATTGATCACCAAGACAGTCTGTATTATTTTCTTAATTTTCCTTAAGCTTGAAACTATGTAAAATGATGCGGCAACAAAGTTATTTTCTCTCCATTGGCATGGTCTCATTGACATGAACTGGCACCTGGGCGACCGATTTGATATATTCGTTGATGTTTACAAGCAGCAGTCCTTTTCCATCAAGCTTAACGTGATTTGTTTATGGTAATGTCTAAAACCGTGGATTAATCTGTATCACTAGGAGCACAACAAAAGGTCTCCATGGTCAGTGCAACAGGGGAGACTTCCCCCTCCCAGTACAGTTCCTTGATGAGCTCACACAAATCTACACTTCAGCAGGTAGCATCATATTCTGAGCGCTTTTTCCGGTCTAAGTGCATGTTTGTTATATTATTTCACTTCCCCAGTTGGAACTTAGTTATGCCTTATTATTATGCGCTGCCCGTACCCTAGTAGGCTTCCATTCTTGTACGGAACTGATATAACAATCTGTGTATGCTTCTTGTGCAGACGTTAACATCAACGTGGAACGAAGGCAAACGAAGGCAAATTGTTTGCATCTGCACAAACTTCATCCATGCGTTTTGGACTCCATTTCTTCGGGCGCCTGCATTTTGCTCCCTCAAATCGTATGCAATTTGGGAACTCAAAAGATCCCTGCAGTCAGATTTGCAGTTTCAGATGATCTCAGCCAGAGATAAGTTAAGACCTAGCACCTGCATCAAAACGATCCTCAAAAGATTTCACTAAAACTGCTGGCGTGCGAGATGTTTTTGCCTGCCTGGGTCTTTTCCTAGAGGCCAACCAAGGATTGCTAGTTAGAACGCGATTACTATTATGAGTTCTAGTCCCTTGTGTACATGCCTATGCATTATTTCTTGAAGCCTGAATAATTTGTGTTGTATGATCTGCTTCTCAAACTTTCGGCACCTGAGTAACGCTCCAAGACTTTAGTCCCTCAAGATTTTTATGAGCAGACGACAGCAAAACTGCAATGTGGCCATCATGATGTAGAGTAGAGGTTGCGATTACGGAAGTACCGCTGCTTTTAAAACGTATTCCGAACCGATATGCAGGAACGTTTTTCCACCTCAACGTTAGAATTGTGAATGGGCTATGTGAATGTCTCTGGGTAATTTGGTCATGGGCGATCACACGGGGACTGTGGTCGTCGGTCTCCAGTTTGCCGGCCGATAAGATCTTTGTGATTGACCAGCCAGCTGGGTTGGTTTGCCAAGTTGCAAACTGAATAAAGCGCATGTGTATAGCTTGATCACAGAATTGCTAATGAGGAAAAACAAACGAAAAAGCATTACTCGAGTGTCTTTGGCGATATTTATACGAGGCGATAAATTTTGATCGCGAAATTGCTAATGATATTTATACGAGGCGAAGGATAGTGGACCTTGCTCGATGACAAGTAGGGTTGTCAAATGGTGGGTTGGGTCGAAAATGGTTAGATCGAAATTGAACCATTTATATGTAATACAAACTTAATGACACTACCGACCCGACTCATATTATTAAAATACACTATTAATTGTGTTTATACATTCCTTATATAAAAACTCAAAAAAATAAAAAGTGAGCATTTCAAGTGAGCTCGGCACGACGGACTACGTCATTATACTGCAAGGCCTACCTAAGAACTTATTTTCACAGAGTTCGATTGTTGATTACAAAACACGGCAACATGTTGGGTCTTAACATATTATTCCAAACTATCCATTGCAACAGTCGTAGAATGCAGAGTCTCTTCAAGCGATTGGTAAATCATTCGTTGATAATAAACCAAGCTGTCCAAACCGATTATTGCGGAGCTAGGTTTATTCCACCAACAAGAACAAGATGATTTCTCAAAGCATTCGGTGAACTACCACCGGTGACGAGCAGCGAACAGAAATATACAAATGAAATAGATTTCCTAATCGACGAGCTCACGTATGATTAAGAGAAAAGTTCGGAAGTGAGTATGACTCCGTGTCTCGAGGATTCTTCGGGATCTTCTTCAATATCTTTTTCTTGGTTCGAGAGAAGTGATCCAAGATTCGCTTGATTTTGTGTATCTGATTAAATATTATCTCGATTTGCTGACTCCTTTTCTTCTTGATTTCGATTCTCTAATTCATGAAGGAGGAGGAGTGGTGCAAAGAGAGGAAGTTGCAGCAGTAGGAAGTTGAAGGCGCTTACGTTGCTCTCCGGAATTTCTGTCGATGAGGAGAAAAGATGTGCAAGAAAGAAGATGGGCTAGACCTGTTTACTTTTTAATTTTGCTCTTTTGGTTATATGGATGGAAAGTGCGTTTCTCAACAGATGCATTAGGGAAAATTGCCGAAAAATCTCTGATTCTATAACACTTTTGCTAATTTAATCATAAACTTTTTAACTTTACCAATTTAGTCCTAAATCTTTTTATAATTTATCAATTGAGTTCATCTGGTCAATTTTAACTGGCAATTGCTGATGTAGATACCGGTAATGATACTTAGAACGGTCGGCGTTGATGTGGACAATTTTTTATAATCTTTTTTTTTTAAATTATAATGATTTTTTTTATTTCTTTCTTTCTTTCCTATTTTTTTTATCAAGTCCAGCAAGGGTCGTCGATTGGCCCTCGTGAGGTCTAGGCGAGGGCCGTGACCTTTCGCTCATTTGTGACCCTCGCGGGACTTGATAAAAAAAAAAGGAAAAGAAAGAAATAAAGGGAAAAAAGATTAAGAAAATTAATTAAAAAATAAAAAAATATATTATTAAAAATTGTTCAGATCAGCGCCGACCGTGCCACGACGGCAGCGTCCACAGATGAGTGATTTCCGATTCAAAATTAGCCGAATGGACACGATTAACAAAACGGAAAAGAAAATATTTATGACTCAATTCGAAAAATTTAAAAATTTTGAACTGAATCGGCAAAAATATAATAAAATATAAAAATTTTTTGGGACAATTTTTTCGATTCATTCAGACTCATTTATTTTGAACTTTTTTCTTTTCACACGACAAATTTAAGCCGATCGGCGTAGCCCCCATTTTAATTTATATAGGTTAAAAGACGGGGCTGGTGACCCACTTCGACAGCTATAATATACATAAACATATATATATATATATCTGCGTGGGGCCGCAGATAGACACCGAAGAACAGAAGGAGATTCACCACGCTTCAGAATAAACGAACGCCGTACATCTCCCTCTCTCCTTCTCTGTCGACGCTCCGTCAACGATCTTCGTGTCGCGGGGGGGGGGGGGGGGCGGCGTCCCTGTTTTCTGGTGAGCGTCTCTTTCCCTGTGCAAGCGTCTAACCGTGCTGTCGACCCACAATTAAAAGCCTCCATTTGTGGGTTCATCTCTCTCTCTCTCTCTCCATGCCTTCGGATCGATTCGAGTTCTGTCATCGTCCCTGTCGCGTCATTCGCGACTCTGGCCGAAAGACTGGGAAATTTTTTTAAGGGTTGTCTTGGTGATCTTTGGGGAATTTGGTGGTGGGCTTGAAATGAATTGGGAAATTTTTTTTATGTTGGATTTCGAGTGAATTTGAGTTTCTTCTCCAGAACTTTTGCCTGGCGCTGCTTGTTTTGAGTTCCCTATAACGGGTTCGAATCTGTATTCGAGCATTATATTAGGAAGAAGGTGGTGGAGGTGTTAGATTCTCGTTTGGGTCAATAGTAATTTTCCCTTTTGCTCCAAATGACTGTATGTCTTCAGCTTTGTCTTATGATAGTGCCATATGTAGCTGTGGGGATAGTTTTGCCTAGTCATTAGTGGGTCATGGATGGATGGACTAAACTTTGTTGGCTTCAACTGGGAAAGATGTTCGGCTGAGCAGTTTTCGACTGTTATTATACGGGGAAGAGTCCTGAAATGTCGGTTGAAAAATTTATTTGATGTTTCGTCGAGGTATATGCCGGTATATCTTTGGTTTATTTCGGGCTTTAATTTCGCCATTTCATGTGTATGATTCGGAGAGAGACGCGAGTCCTGCCATTGTTTGCAGTCCTATTCCGATGTAAGAATTGAAATAAAACAAACTGCAAATACAAGCTCCTGTAAAGTGATATGGATGGAGAGACTCTATATTCCGATTGCGGCAACAATTTTTGAACTTGCTCAAATATTTGCATCGCATTTTTTTGCTTATGCATTTGTGATTCTCTGCTACACCTGGAAAGGTCTAATCCTATGCACAATAATTGGTTCCTTCTAAGTTTTGTTTAGAAACAAAATGTTTCATTCTGATGACGACGGTGCAGAGTCCAGCTACATATTCTTAACCATGTTTTGAAAACGGAAACAAGAAGTCAAGTGTGATCAATTTCTGTTCTGATTTGGAATTCAGCATGTAAATGACAGGTAGCTCCTAGATGTGTTCACCTTTTCACTCCGGTAATACCCACAATATGAGATCTGGAAAGACCTGGTGAAACATTTTTTTCAGGCCTGCATTTTACCTGGGAAATTGTATGTTTCTGAAACAGTGTTTTATTAATGTGGAAGGGCCATAGTTGAATGTTTAGGCGTAGTGCTTAGCTAATTCCAAGTAAGTCCTTTGGAGTTTTCCCGGTCCTCTATCTGTCACCATCACTGTGATTTCATGGAAGAGGAGAAATGTGGACTTGGATTATGGGACTACAAGTCGTGAACGGCATTGTTAGTCTTCTTGAGCCAAGAGCTTTTAAATATGTAAATTTTGACTTTTTCCTCCTTTTCTTTAATAATTTTTAACAAACTATCAAACGCATGTTGCTCTAGTTGGACTTGTCATTTTATTTGGATATGTCTTCTATGTAACTTATTCACGACCGGGTTCTAGTGCGATGCACATTTAGGATAATTTAACTTGCGGAATTCGTGAGCTTAAAATTGCTTACTATACAGTCGAAAGCATCTTTCATGGTATAAAAGCACCGCAGTAAAGCTCTATAAGCATGTCTTTGGGGAGAAGTGAACATCTAAAAACAATTTCCTTGGAAGATGAAAACAAATTTTGAAAAAGAACTGCCGACATATGAAAAGGTTCTTGCACAGGGGCTACAGGTACAGTTGCTGCATTTACGGTAATAGTATTCTAGATAGCCTACTTGAGTATCTTTCTTTGAAATTTGAACTTAAAGCAATGTTGTGGGCCCTTCATTTCGCTTTCTTTCTTGAGGTGCATCCTCATTTTGGCCCTTTTCCATGTCCCCCAATGAATTTGTGGGGTCTTCTTGTTTGCTTTCTTGGCATAGTTGTAGATAAATCCGATGAAGGTTGGAAAGCGTCGGTGTATAATATTTGTTTTGAGGGCAGTTCATTTGCTTCATTCCTTGCAACATTGGACTTCTGTCTCTTACCTCCTCTTTCTCCCTTGTCATTCCCAGACTCCTTTTGTCCCTAAACAAGTTTTGTTCGAAAAAGATCCATGGTCTTGGAGCAGTATTTTGCCAAGGAATGGAAATCCACCTCAGCCAACAGTGACACGATTGATCCTGGAAGTAGCATCGGCTGCTTCGACTGCAATATCTGCCTGGAATCTGCCCACGAACCGGTGGTCACCCTCTGTGGTCACCTATACTGCTGGCCCTGCATCTATAAATGGCTCCATGTACAAAGTGCATCTCTTGCTTCAGATGAGCACCCACAATGCCCAGTCTGCAAGTCTGAGATTTCACATACAGCCATGGTCCCCCTCTATGGCCGGGGCCAATGCTCCAGTCAACTTGAGCTCGAAGGGAAGTCTTCCAATCGTGCTGTGGTCATGCCCCCAAGACCAGCCGCCTGTGGAACTCGAGCTCTGGCATCTACGGCAGCTCCGACTGCTCAGCAGCTTCCATATCGAAACCCTTATCAAAACCAACATTTCTATACCGGTCCTTTGAGCAGTTATGAGGATGAAGCTTCATCATCTTTGCTCAACTTTGGAAGCACGGGCTTTCATAATACGATGGTGGGTATGTTCGGCCAGATGGTTTTTGCGAGGATGTTTGGCAACTCGTTGAGTTTGTATGGTTACCCTCACTCTTATCACCTTGCTGGGGGGCATAGCCCCAGGTTGAGAAGGCAGGAGATGCAGGCAGATAAATCACTGAACAGAGTTTCAGTTTTCCTTTTCTGTTGCTTCCTACTGTGTCTTATTGTGTTCTAAGTGAGCTACGCAAATTTGGCCAAGCTATTTAGCCTGCTTGTAAAGAGTGTTGTACCTTTGAACATCCATATATATGTGAAGCAACCCGATGCGGTATCCTGTAACTAATCTTGTCCAAATTAGTTGATTTTTGATTGTGAGAGGACCACATATCTCATCATGTAAAGCAGATCACAACAGTATGAGAAATCGTATTGGATTTTCTTCCTAGTTTGATTCACACTGTTTTAGATCATGTAAGACAAATCTATCCTCATTTCATCAGCTAAAGTTTGTACTATTGCCGACTGTCAGGATGCAGATCGATTCTTCCTAGAAATCACAAAGAAGTAACCTTACCTAGTTTCATCTATCATTCTGTCAGTTCCTTGTCTTCATCACATAGAGAAAAATTATAGAAAAGGAAATTCTGAAGAGCGGCCCCCATAGCACTTGTTAAGGGTCATCGATTGTGCTTTGGAAACGTAAAATTTTCTATTTTAAGTAAGTGACCTCTTTGGAAAGAGTTCTTGCTCAATTTTTAAAATGTGTTGATATGCATTATTAAAATTTTAGTGCTCTTATCTAATGCTCTCGGGCACTTGTTAATGAAAACCCTTATAAAAATTATGATCGGCATATGTCGAATTTACCAAAACAATGAATTTGCGATTTCTTTCTAGTTAATTCTAAGGGTTAATACCGTGAAAGCCATAAACTAATACGCCAGTGACAAATTCACTCAAAACTAATTTTTTTTACATAAATAATTCCAAACTAGTATATTTGTGACAAATTTACCTAAAACTAATTTTTTTACCATAAAAAATCCTAAACTGGTATATTTGTGACAAATTTACTTAAAACTAATTGTTTGATCACCAAAAACCTCAAACTAATACAATTGTGACAAATTTACCTTCCGTTAGTTTTCGTTAAATTGGAATAATACCACGAAAAATTATAAATTGGTATACTTGTGACAAACATGGCGTAAAACTCAAAATCGGTATACCCGTCAACTACTACGTGCCATTCAATTCAGCAATTTGATGATAAAATTTAACGAAAATTAATATAGGGTAAATTTGTCACAGGTGTACCAGTTTAAGATTTTTGGTGATAAAAAAATTAATTTAAGATAAATTTATCATAAATATATTAATTTGAAATTTTTCGTGATATTAATTATAGTCCTAATCTTGTTCTCTCCCGGGTGGGTACCATAGGAGAAAGAAGAATGAGTATATAGGTCAAATCAATCAAACTCTACTGAAACTATAGAGATCTAAGACAGAACGGTACTGGACCCACCATTTTCACTGCATTCAACACTGACATTGAGTTTGCCCCTTTATGAGCAACCAAAAAACTAGTACTCCGTGGTAGTCCCATGTAACAGATGCCCCGATTCTTGTCCGTGGAAGTTGGATTGGCTCCAGTTTGTCCAACAAGTACGAAAAAAATGGGTGTTAAAGGAGTGCCGCAAGTGGTCCACTTGAATTTGCAGATCCCTCGTCATGGAAATGAACTTCCGTTAAAGTTAGATGCCAAATCCCAATCAAGTCACCCTCTCTCTCTCTCTCTTCAAGCCAATCGATGGACGACATGTATTAGTCGAGTAATGGTGGGAATACGAAGATTATCAAGACGAGTTTAAAAGCTTTTGTTTTCGGTTAAACGACAAATACTATATGATATTCGAGCAAGATATGTTCAAACCCGATCAATACTTTGTGGTGAACGAAACAAATCACCGTCTTACAATATTATATCTCTCACGTGTTATCTAGTGCGCTAATTCGAGTAAAAAAATTGTAGATGGAACATTGCGTGTCAGTCTAAAAGAGCTTTTGGCTTGAGGGCCGGTGTGGCATTGACTAATCACCCCACGATTTCGACATCTTAACACGGGATTTTTTATGGTATTTCACCAACCGTAAAGCGAGTTTTGGAATTGAAACCTCTCGGTCTACGTGTGACCTTGTTTGGTTTGGCAAACTCAACTCAACGAGCATTTCGACCCAAATTGTCCTTTTCTGCATCAATCTTTCCACAAGAGACGCAACCTCGAAATGCTTGCCCTTTGACCACTTTTGCTCGCCTCCAATCCGAAGGAATATCAGCGAGTGATGCACTAGCGATGGACGTGCTTGATTCGGCTTCTCGCTTTTGATGCCCTTTGGCCCTTATGTCTGTGTCAAGTTGTCAATTACATATCATGTCTTTATATGCTTTTGATTGTTGGAGCCAGCTTGTCTTGTGATTGTACTGCGTCTCTCTGCCCCTATAGTGCTTTAGTTGCTTTCTTCTAGTGGTCTTTTATCAATGCATGGTCTAGCCGTTAAGTGCTTTTCTAATGCAAATCATCTTCTCTTCAATCATGTGGAGCACCAAGAGTTCCATTGCTGAAGGAACATGGTGTGATCGGGTGTTACCCACGAGCCAAAATAGTGTTTAACATGCTCGCTTCCCCGAGGCGTGGTAGCGCACCGGCAAGGAACTAATTAATCCCGCTAATCAACACGCACAAGGTTCGGTTTTCTGATCTCGGAGGAGATGTGTCGACATTGGACGACTTACATGCGCCTTAAAGATCTTATTGGCTTGTAGAGTATGCGGGTGTGGATTTCCTCCAAATTAGCGAGAAAAAAATAACGTGCTCGATTTTTCTATGGAGCAGTGCCTACGGAAAATCAAATGATGCTGGCTGTAATAAGATCAATCTCTACAATTCGTATATCAAGTGATGTGATATACTTTTATTTGGCGATGAATATGGCCGATTTGTTTGAATATCCACTTATGGTCAATCACGTTATCATCGACCAAGTAAAATATTTAGGTGAATCCGCATCTTCATACGGCTCCTACCGCTTCAGAACAAAAGATAGAAGAGAAAGAGACACAACTAAAGGTTATTCGAGATCGACGAGAGCACGGAACTACAAAGGAAAGGAAACGAAGTCGTCAAAGAGAAAGGCCTTCGTCAAGCGTCTGAGATGAAACTAAAAGCACAAGAAAAGAACATGATGTCTGAAAGAAGTTACGTTTGTTTCCCGCAGTTGTTTTAGCAAGAATAAAAGGGCAAACCTACAAGAAGCAATGTTTTAATAGATGAAGCAACAATCTCCAAATACATGGGGGCTGCTCTGAAGATATAACCAAAATGAATATACCCAATTAGTCTTGCAAGATCTCGATCTCGATTTGAGCTCGAGCAGACAACCAGTCGAACCTGATGGCTTACGAGCCAGTGGACTCGCCCGTGCATGTAGGAGAAAACACACTAATTGCAGGTTCAACCCTTGAACCTGTAGAATTGCGAGTCCAACCCGTCTCTTTCTTACATTGAAGATGCAGAGGAACAGGCCAACATTGGTCCAACACTGAAGACGCACAGTCGCGGCTAAATAATGGACTCATTTTTTACTTCTCAACACATATCTCGGACTCAAATTAAGATGAAATGCAAATTTACTAGCAACAGATAACTGAGTTTCGAATTCGCGATTAGCTCCTAGCCCATTTATTTATGTTTTCCATTCCTTAACAATTTCATGAGCTCGTGGTAACTCGCTGCATCCCGTATAGCTCCGGTTCTGCCTGGTTCAGACTATTATTTCACTCCACTCCTTTTCCTTTCTCAACTCAATTCTTGTGCGCAACATGCATTGGAAGTCAAAAATCTAAAATTTCTCATTTAACCGACAGCAAAAACTTTAAAACTCCATACGGAGCATGGCACGAGTCATCTACACAAAAGATTTTTCACCAGAAAATAAAAGGTTATCCATATAGGGCTCCACAAAAGCTGAAGATCATCTACATAAAAGATAGCAAATGAAGAATGCCCTTCTTTTACTTGATCAAACGGTTTGACATGAATAAGCTTCAACACCATCCTCAATATCTTCATTTGGAACTCTAATTCCCTCAACTCGATGAAAACAAAAGTGAATGGCAGACCTCTTAACTCGGTTTCTGGCTACAAATACAAACAACTAATCAGTGTCCTAGAAAACAAGACCAAAATTACGCGCCATCCGCCAATGACGCCTTTAATTCCTCTTAATGAGAGGCCTTGGCAAAATAGAGAGACCCCCAATCCTCTTTCACTTACATAATTTACTTCCTTGTTTACCTTCATCGCGTGTTTTGGCAACCAACTGAAGTCCAAGCAAAAATCTATTTGGCAAAACTCAAAAGTTTTGGATTTATATTAGTCAGGGGAATAAGAATTATTCCAGCATTTCCTTCTTCAGTCCATTGAATCGATTCCTTCTCCAAAAATTTCATAACCTGTTTGAACATAAAAGAAAATCCTTGGGCTCAGCAAGTTTAAATCTGTCTCACATCTAAAAAACTGGGGTACAAGATGGAAAAGGTGGTCAGAAAGCATTGTTTTCATCTGAAAGATTATAGTTCCACTTGGATTTTAAATATTTTCCATGTAGATCGAGGGAGTTTGTAGCTATTGAAAAGACTAGCCTTGTTATAATTGTCATTCTCTCTAGAATTAGAGTCACACAAACAGAGCAGCATATCTTACCAGCCGCTTACGAGCCCCTTTTGAGACATCTTCCTCATTTGTTTCGATGATTACTTTAAGATAGTTGAATGCTGATTTCAGAACACAAAAGATCATTTAATATGTAAAAAATCAAAGGCAAGGTTTAACCTGCAGAACAAATACATACTTGGGATGCCAGCCAGTGACAAAAGGTGGCGCTTAAGAAGACGTATTGCCTCTTTGGCACCGTGGTCATGCAAGTCAAGCAACATAAAGTCTGCTGTATTTTTATTTCTGCACATCATTGTACAGAGCAATACAAGGCGTTACACAAACTGGATGTAGAGGAGGGAGGGAGCCAACTCCACCTCTCATATAAAAAGAAAACTACTCAATATTAGAAAAGATACCGACACCGCCACTTAAATATAGACACTCATTATGTCTGATGGAGTACTAACCTTGTTTCAAATATCTTCTGATAGGACTCTTCATCAGCTTCACGAGCCTTTTTGCAGAAGAAGCGTCCCTATCATTGGAGAAATCCATTTTAGTAGCTGAATATCCTACATGGCACTTTCTATCAAAGATGCAACTTTCTAGCTAAAAGGGATAGTAATAAATTATCTCAATTCAGAAAAATTAGGAAGAGCACATCTTTCTCTTGTTCATAGGAACAATTAATATAGGACCATACCAAAGATATTACTGAAAACAGTAAGAGACATTAGAAGATATTATGGGCTTTGCTCATAATACTAATAATGCCATCCATTTCTACAGACTTAACAAATGGATATTGGTTCTAAATTTACATGTTGCAAGCGTGTGACTTCACTGAACTTGTGAAAACATCACATCCAAATTATTATGAGAAAACGAAAAGTCTCAGCTGGAATTTCTACTTTGTTTACCTTTTCTAAAAGTTTGCCTGCCCGAGCATGATCACCCTTAGCAAATGCTTCAACGGCCTAACAAGAGGAGGTACCAAACTTTAAGCAGACAAGCATGACCATATCAGGACATACGAATGTTACATAATGAAGTGAAGGTATCCTGAATAAAGAACTCACAGCCTTATAATACTCCCTCATAGTAGCCCTATATTCCTCCACAGCTCTACGAAGAACCTCGTAGCTATCCTCTTCATCTAGATCTTCCATTGGAAAAAAAAAGTAAATATAAATCAAAAGGCAAGAAAATGAAGATAACTTATATTGAACGAATATCTACCTATCAATATTTTGGGTAAACAATCAAGAAAATGATGACATTATGAAATCTTTTGAACTGAGATACAACTTTCCAGTCGCAAGCCCATCACAAGAAGGCAGGGTGTGAGAGCAAAAGGAAATTTACCATGTAAAAAAGAATCTTAGAGTCTTCCACATTTGCTTCAAAGTTTCAACAAATAGGCAGATTTCGGAATTTATATACTAATGATAGCATAAGGAAATTTTCCAGCTATCTAGAGAAAAGTGCATACCATCCGCATTACTATCTTGTTGAAAATCTACTATATCCTTCTTGTCAAGTAGAAAAGAATCTGGAAGAGGTGTAGCCACCACTTGACCATATGCTTTAGACCTCTTGACAGCTTTTACGGGGCTAGATGACTCTGTTTGTCTCCCAGAATTATTGAATAATGAAGCCAAAATTTCTTCTTCGAGATTGCTTCTCTGTCTCCGCTCTCTGTTCAATTTACCTCCATATGTACCTGGAACACTATGGAAAAAAAGTTCTGTGATATGCGTTGAATTTTTCCCCTTCTCTGCCATAAAACTGTTCTATTTATTGAATTAAACAAGAGGAGTGGAGGAGAAGAGAAAATAAACATACCTTTCTGAATTATCTGCACTTCGCATCTCTTTTTGACTTTGAAGTACTTCCTGCAAAGCCAGAGAAGGACATGAAGGACTATATGTAGGCCAACCAATAAGGAATATATATTTGACAAAAAATTATAGAACCTATCGGTTGCATATCATCTAGCTACCAAGAGAACTTGAGGACTATATCCATTATCATCCCAAGTGATCTATATTCCCAGAAGGCAATGCAGAGAAGCCCAATTTATACATGGCTCAATTGGAAAAGAAAATAGAGTAAATTCCACCAAGCCAATAACCAAGTTTTTGGTCATGCTATTGTTGTTCTAAACGAGCTTGCAGAAAAATGCAGTTACTGCATACCTTGTCTCCTTTGCTGGAAGGGCAGGGAAAAATGACTATGCCAGACACATGGTTTCATATAGCGTCATCAACTCTAGACTTGTGCCAGATGAAGGCATACAAAAAGATGCAAGATTTGAAATTGACATGTGGCAAAGCATCATGATAGTTGCTAATATTTCCAACAGCTTTAATATGGGTGTAACAACTATTTTGCTCAGAACTAGTAACAGCTGCTGCCAAGAGTTAGAGAATTTGAGGCTCATGTTTATCATCAAGCAAAAAGGGAAGGAGCCCAGCTAAATATGCATTCCATAGAGAAAAATATGTGTTAGGCACATTTTTATATCAAGTAATTTGTGAGAACACATACTATTGCATCAGATAGGGAAAATTCAACCCAGTGTATAATAAAATCTAAGCAAAGTCCCCTTATCTACATCAAGTTGCTAGAATGTTATGGAAATTTAAACACTACTCAAAGTGTGATTGGAGAACTCATACTCAGTGGAATCCATTACTTCTACTATCGGAAACAAAGGATTCTCGTTGCAGACTGATTAATCCTTAAACAAGGCAAATACCTAAATAATCAACATGGACACATCGAATTTTATTGACAAAACATATTATAAATTCACTCGGTGTGAGAAGCATTATTATCACACAAACCATCAGACCAACCTTCTTAGACTTGCCGAGAAAGTTGTTTCCTCTCTTTGAAACTGCGGCTGACAAATCAAATAGTCTGTCCATGCTCTAAATGACCCAAAAAGAAATAGATGTAATCAATTTCCTATTATTCTCCATAGAAATAAATATCATGCGAGGGACAGAGGATGCTATATAGCACAAGAGAACTTTCTCTTGAAAGGACAGTATTCGTACTATTTTAGAAGTAAAATCAAATCATGCATACCTTTTCCATATTATATCCACATTTACCTGCATCCAAGGCAAGGTTGTCAGTACGCAACCTAAGAGCTTGCAAAGGTAAACTCATAATCAAACTAAGTCGCCATAAACACTAATATCTAAATAAAGGAGTTCCTCTCTCTTCCTTTGCAAACTAAAACTTTCTTGCTCAAGCTAATGATTATTCAAAAGTTCACAAAACTGGGAGCTCAATTACAATAAAAAGAGAGCCAGGAGGTAGTTGGCTAATGCCACTATTGATGAAGCATAATTCCATTTTGAACTTATATGGCAAAGGTCGAACTATATTCCTCACGCATCTCTATTTGCTAATTCATTGGAAAACTTCGGACACTTAAAAGACTAAGCTGCAGCTGCATCATGTCACTTAGTTACAGAGGTTTTGCTCCAGTAGAAGTCACGCAAGGGCTTCTTCCAACAGACCACTGAAAGCTCAAGCTGGAATTTATTCCAAGACAATAGTGGCACAAGTGAAAATCTACCAATCTCTCCAGTCGACACCTAATCAAATAAACCTATGTGTTTGTTTCCTAGTTCTCTTCCTCAACTCAAAGTAAGTTACACATGAGCTATTAGATATATCAAGAAAAGAAATGATTTTTAAAGTTTGAAGACAACTGAAGATCACTTGTATGGCATTACCCAAGATCATGCTTACCAAGAACTTCTCGAATGACATCCCTATCGAGCTGAAAGCCCTCTCCCAGCATTTTAAACAGAAAATCTTCCATGTCCCGGTGCATTTGATCATCCTTACAAGCATCCAGTTTGGAATCTTTGCCTGAAAGCTCAGATGCTGGCAACACCTTGGAGTCCAGTTTCAAAGGTTTTGCTGCCATACAAGATCCATTTGCCAAGGATGTGGACCTGACATAATCTTTATCGATAACACTTGAAACGGTACCAACAGAAATAGGACGCCACTTTTCTTTTGAAGATCCGGGATTTCCATCACCCTGAACCAACTTCTCAGAAATGTTACCACAGGAAAATTCTTCAGACAGTTCGCTTTTTGCAACACAATGAGTATTATCGGTGGTAGATGCAACGGGGCTTCCCTTCATGTCACTCAATATATAACCTGCGTCATCTGCATTCCTGCGCGCCTTGCAGTAAGCAGAAGCAATCTCTTCCAGAGAAAAGACAGAACCAAATGCATCAAGTAGAACCTTCAATCCTTTTTGGTCATCATCACTTTTCTGTACCATTAAACCAGATGCATCCATCCCGAATCTACTAAGAAGAGACAATAGTCATTTTCAACTTGATAAAGCATATGATTATGACAAGCAAAAAAGGGGAAATAAAGCATACATTAATGGTAGCTGTTACTATGGTCATATAAAAGATCCTCCATCATGATTGGCAATTAATAGAATAAATGAAAACATTTCTAACATCAACGAACCCGCCAAAATTTCCTTCCCCATGCTTTACCCACCCTTCCCAACCTGACAATGGTTTTTAGCCCAGACCAACGATGGACCACTTAAGTGAACTTAGGAATGGGGGAAAAAACCGACACTAGTGGCGACCCATCAAACCCTCTCCATGTGGGGTGGGGCTGCCCTACCAATGACAGAGTTGGGGTAGGGACAGGAATTAGCTTGTTGCCTCGTGCAGGCCATAGAGAGGGGATGAGATCATCCTCTGCCCTGCATACTATAAACTCCACGTTGTGTGTCACCACAATATGAGTATCCCTTATTAATCATCATTACTACTTAGCTCTCTTTGTTGTATGCTACATGTTGAGTATGCTCCTTAAGCTAAGTTAAAAATGCTACTCATGAAATTATATTGCCATGTCAATCTCCATTGTATCAGACTTTATGTTAAATTTAAGAGTTTCCGAAGCAACATTGCCAATTCATATACACTGGATATATCTCTAAGCTGCTACACAAGAGAAAGCTTAAATGAGTAGTTCCTCCCTTGCAGCCATAAAATGTGTTTCCGAAACCCCAGTTTCATCTTTTATTGCTTGGTTTCTGTTTAATGTTTTAATTCATAATTATAACTACGAGGAAGTGTGACATTTGCATTTCCAAGAGCAGAACCATGGTCTAAGACACCGGGAATGTCACCTGTTCTTTCCTTTTCCGTTCTCTATCCAATAGTTTGGTGTTTTTACCATACAAGAATTAAAGATCTCAATTGGAAACCTTACACCTCATCGCAGTCCAACAGTTGGATTGACCGGACCGGCCCAATCAGACCTTCAAAACATTGATCTTACTCTCACATCCTGAATGGAGCATTATCTCAATTGCCATTCAACAACTTGATAATACATCTGAATTCCCGCTCACCTCACCATTTATCATGAATTTTCCTTTAGCTCTTCTTTAACATAACCAAGACAAAGTTCCCAACATGAAGCAAACTTTTAGTGCCATACTAGAAGAGCACTGTAATATCATCCATCCGCGCCATACCTTGCCCGGGACAGGTCAATGCAGATCTATTCTGAAGGCAGAAATTTTGCCGTTGTACAACAAACACGGTGCATTAATCTGAAAGGCTTAATACATGCAGTGCAGACAACATCCATTTGATACATAATCAAGATTCTGGCCGTCAGAGTGTTTTACACAAACAGGCCGCTAAATACTTCTCCAGCAAGAGAACACCACCAAACGAACTGTACTAATCGAATCGAGTAAAGTCGATATCACACCTCGTAAGAATTGTTAGCACCGCGTGACAAGCGGGATGATTCTGGCAAAAAGAAGCCTCGACACCAAAGAAAAGAACCAGTCTAGAATAACAAGAAGGAAAACAATTCAAACAATTACTCAAAAAAAAAGTTTTTTATTTTTTTAGCAACCCGGCAATGACAAAGGACACCTGACAGCCAGTAACTTCCACTGGGGAAAAACACGCTGCAAGCACCGAGATTTTGACGATACAAGAGAGGAGCTGAACCCACTGTCGGCAAAACACCACATCCCCCCACAATGTGGCGAAAAAGTTGAGACATTTAAGCGCATCGATGGACGATCACGCTGCGCCCACAATGCCGCAGAGCTGCCGGGCAGCAGAACCCCGTCCCAATCAAGCAGTAAACCGCACGAAACAGAGAGAGAACACCGCAAACAAAAACCGCGAAATCCCGCGGCAATAGCACCGATTCAATCCGATACCAGCTGGCCACGATACAACCACACAGAGCAAGCCGCGGCGAGAGAGAGAGAAGAGGAGGACCTGGGGAGGCTAGGACGGGTTCGGGGTCCGGGTCGCGGCGGCGGGGGACGGCGGCTGTTCGGCCGAAATGCCTCCGCGTTTCGGCTCTCTAGCACGCGACGCGGGAGAGAGAGACAGAGAGAGAGGAGGCAATGGCGATGGAGAAGAAGAAGACGACGACGGAGCAGAAGAGATCGGCGATCGCGCGATTTTACGATGCGCGAGAGCCGGATTACGATTAGCACCGGACACGTATATATAGAGAGAGAGAGACGATGGTCAACGATCCGTTGACCGAGGAGGGAGAGGGTGACGCTGCTTTTGGTGCGCGCACCAAAAACGCCGTTTATCTTCTCTTGCAAGCTTTTCATTTTGTTTTCTCTTCTTCTTCTGTTTTTTTTTTCCATGACGATTTGGAAAATTTCCCTTTGGAAAATGATCCTCCTCTCGTTTACAAAAAATAATAAACAATAGGTTATTTTCTTTTGATAATTTCGAGAAAATGACACCGATGATCCATAGACTTTGGCTCAATGTACAATGTGGTCCTTGAACTTTTGATTTGTGTAATGCCGTCCCTGAACTTTAACCAATGTGTAAAGTGGTTCATGAATTTTTCATTTGTTAAATATAGTTTATGAACTTTTTGTACATGTTGAAACTAATCCCTAGACTACATGAAAAATATTAAATGTTGTCATTTTTATACAGTCCAGGAACTGTTTTGAACATGTACAAAAAGTTCGGGGACCACATTAAACAAATTAAAAGTTTAGGGACCACATTACACATTATGTTAAAGTTCAAGGACCACATTGAACAAATTGAAAATTTATGAATCACATTGCACATTGAACTAAATTTCAGAGACCATTTGTGTCATTATCCCAATAATTTTTTTCATGAAAATGGTCATTCTATCGTTTACAAAAATAATAAGCGAAAATTATTTTCATCATTAGAGAAAACATCTACTAATATTATTGCTAATAATGCAAAATTTTTCTGTTAACTGATCTTTTAAAGCACCCTTGCAATAGACAACCTAGGGGTAGGGCTCACTCTCAAGTGATTTAGGACCCCGATCTCGGGTTCAGAGTCCCCGATCTCTCCTTGGCCTCAAAAAAGTTTGGGTACGTTCCATGGTCTCAAGCTGCATTATGGTATAGGATAATTCCGGCTCTATTCCCACTAGTACCATGATAGGATGGCAATGGGAGGCTCATCAAAATAAGTATTAGTTATGATTCAAGTCGAACATTTCGTCGCGAGTATAGAACTCCTATGATGATGCCCGGAGGAGGTCGATGAACGCCAATCACTCCTTCCCACCTTAATTTTTATATTTGCTATATATCCGATCATTTTTCTAGAAATATTTCATAAATAGTTCATTTTCAAAGTGAAAAATGGACATTTTAATTTTTTTTTCTATCATTTTAGTTAGTTTGATGATTCTTTGCTGAACTAGTTACTTAAATGATTCAACCACACATCTAGTGCCACTGTCCAAGGACATATGATCGTGTCGAATCGAGTCGATACGCTTCAATGCTTTGGGCTTGGCTCGATTGCAATTCGATGCTCTAGCTCGATCATTAGTAATGTCTTGTAAACTTATCCTCTGCTCGGGACACTACAAAATAGGGAAGCAATGGCAAGTAGGGGAGAAAAGATTAAAATTTTCTTCCTTTTCTCACCAAAAATTCAAAATTTTTCTCATTTTCCATTTAATTTCTGCAATAATGCGATTCTCCAAAACCCTACCTGCCTCCACACTCGAATCTCGGGGCTTATTTATTTATTTTGAATAAAGGGTTGATTAATTTAATCCATTAAATAAAAGGGTTGATTATTTAAATCCATTAATTAACTGCAAAAGGCAAAGCAAAGAAATTTTGAAAAGTGAATGGAAGGTCGGCCAAAGAAAAGTAAAGTAATATAGAATGTTGGCATCTAGAGACTCATGGTTGCTTTAAGAACGCCGTTTTATTGAGAATATCTTGTGAAACAAATTTCGACCGCTCTTAATAATTTAAGGTATTGGATGAAAACGAAATTTAGGTTCGTTTATTTTACGGAAAATCAACAATTTGGAAAATATTTTCCTAAATCTAATCATTGTTATTGCTTACAAAAATGAGTCAATGAAAAATATTCCCATTATTAACCACAATTCACGCCTAAATAATTTTGTTGATAATGAAAATATTATCCGTTACCACTTTTCATAAAATATATAAGTGATCAAAATTAGGAAAATCTTTTCCAAATTATCAATTTTCCGAGAAGCAAACGGAACCTCAATATTCAGATGCTCTGGAACTCCCCTTTTAAACCCGTAAACTTGAATTTGACCTAAACCCGAAGCTTGTAAAATAATTTATAAGGCGATAGCTATTAGTTAACGGGTTTGGAGAGATTTCGACGGATGACCTCCTCTTGTGATATCATGAAAAATATCATGAGAATATTGTCGATTGCTACGAAATCTGTCAAAACTTATAAGGCTTTTACTTTTTGCTTGTTGCTTAATGCAAATGCCGCGACAAATGCATTTTGGCTTTTTCTTAGCCCACGATACCTTAAACTTTTATAATATACAAATTCTTTCTACGTTAAATCATATATAATTCTTTTCTGAAATTCGAATAATATTCTAAAATTTTGGCAGAAAAAGCACTACCTTTTGCTTTCGCCGAAAACTTAAACAAACATGCCCTTGTAGCTTCCTAAGTATTTTAACTTCAAGTGGAGGTTTTTTCTAAAACGACTTATGATTCGCCATATGATTAAAGCTTGAAAAACTTCTCTTGGGCGGTTGAAAGGGAGACTTCTTCATTGGGTAACCTCAAAGTTGTCAATAGCTTCAAAAACAAAAATCAGTGGCTGAAAATCAATAGCCTAAATTCAGGTAGGCCACGACATGGCGTAGAATAACTCCGGCTCTGTTCCCACCGGTACCACGAGAGGGCGGCGATGAGAGGTTTGCTCAAAATGAGCATTAGTTATGGTTAAAATCGACCATTTCATCGCGAGCGTAAAACTCCTATGTTGATGCCCAAAGGAGGTTGCTGAACGATGATCGCCCCTTCCCACCTTATTATTTATATTTACAATATATCCGATAATTTTTCTAACAATGTTTGACAAAACTTTCATTATTTTCAACATGACAAATAGACATTTTAATTTTTTTTCTCTCATTTTAGTTAGTTTGACGGTTCTTTCCTGAATTAGTTAGTTTAATGATTCAATCACGCATCTAGTGTCACTGTCCAAGGACATGATCGCACCGAGTCAAGTCGATACGCTTCGAAGCTTTGGGCTCGGCTCGATGACAACTCGATGCTTGAGCTCGATTAGTAGTAATATCTTGTAAACTTATCGTTTGTTCGGGACGCTATGAAAATAGGGAAGGAATGGCAAATAGGGGACAAAAGATTAAAATCTTATTCTTTTTTCTCACAATAGTTTCAAATTTTTTTCTCATTTTCCATTCAATTTTTTACCCTCTCCCATTTCTCTTCGTTCCTAATCAGGGAGAGATTCGACCAAAAAAAAAATCAGAGAGAGAGAGAGAGAGTTATTTTATTTATAAAGGGTAGATTAATTAATTCATTAATTAACCGCAAAAGGCAAAGGAAAGAAGTTTTCAAAGGAAGTGAATGGAAAGGTCGGCCCAGGAAAAGCAAAGTGAGTGGAATGTTGCCATATTTAAGATTCTTGGTTGCTTTAATAACACCATTATATTTAGAATAACTTGTGAAACAAATTTCGAACCGCTTCTAAGAATTTAAGGTGTGGGATGAAAACGTGATTTAATATTTAAATGCTATGAAGCTCCCTCCTTTTAACTCATGAAATTGAATTTGACTTAAAACTTTACGATTGTAAATTAATTTATAAGGCGATAAATAAAGGGGTTTGGAATAAACTCCTCCGATGTCATAAAGAATGTCGCAAGAACATTGCCGGCCATTGTGAAATCCGTCAAATCGCATAGGCTTTTACCTTTTGCGGTTGGCTCGACCAGAATGTCGGGACAGATGCACTTCGGCTTTTTCTTAGCTCACAACATCCGAAACTTTTATAATACACAAATCTTCGAAACGTTAATTCATATATAATTTTTTTTGAAATTCGAATAATATTTTAAATTTTAGCAGGAAAAGCACTAGCTTTTGCTTTGGCCGAAACTTAAAACAAACATGCCCTTGTAGCTTCCAAGCATATTAACTTCAATTGGAGGTTTTTTCCAGGCCAGATTCTAATTGGAGCTCGTCGCTTTCCGCCAGCTCGACTCTCCAAAAGTCGTTGATGAAGGAGTTCTTTTTGCCTTTTGGGCCGTTGAAAACGATGGGTGATTCATCATATGATGATTGAAGCTGAAAAACTTCTCATGGGCGGTTGAAAGGTGGACTTCTTCAATTGGGTAACCTCAAAGCTGTCAGTAGCTTCCAAAAACAAGGAAATCACTAGCTGAAAATGATGATCGTACAGCTTCTTGTTCAATTCAATTGATGCAAGTCATCAACCTTCCCTATCACAAGCTTGAACTACAAGGATGACGCCTCATTGGAGAGAAGCATTTTATACAGACTACATATGAAGTGGTATCGTCACGGTTTATTGGATGATGTGAGTTTCGCGTGAAACCGGTCGATAATAACTATTGCAATCGGCTTGATACATGGTGGATCTTATCTAATGTCAAACACGGTGGATAGAAGTGAATTTGGTTTCGACGTGCAGATATAATAACAAGCAAAGCAGTTTGTGGTGGCCTTGAGTTTCCACCGGATTAAGATGCATATACATTAAAAAGAAATCTGATTTCGTTTAAACAAGATCACTTAAAATGCCTATAAGTAGCAGACCCAAAAATGTGCCTATAAATAGACCATTTGGTTAACAAAATTAAATAACACAACCTTCTTTATTAGAAATCAATCTTGCTATTGATTATTAACAATTGTGGCGCAAGATGAACAGTCGTCATAATTAAAGTGGCAACGAGGAGCGCGACGATGACCGCGACGATATAGAGGCGATGGTAGTCGCGACACTGATAAGGAGGTGGCATGTTGATGACATAGATCGCGAGGGAGCGCTTCCGATGAGCAAGTGTTGTATAAAGTGTGCTATTAAAGAGTGCCTGTGCCACCTTGGACACTCGTTCAATATATACTTTGTCTAGAATAATTCAATTTCAAAGCATTAATAACTGTAAAGTTTTCTAAATTGGTTACTTA